CGCGCATTCCTCCGCGCGGCTCTCCGGCTGCAGGCGCTGCCTGGATCCCAGGAGGGACGCGGCGGGGACCTGCCGGTGCCCCCTGGCTGGGCGGCTGCGAACCACATCGGGCCTAGCCCAGGCATCGTTTGGAAAGGAAAGGAGTAAGGGAGTAAAAAGGCCCCAGAGATGAGAGCCACAAATTCGTGAACCAAGAAAGCCTGCATTCTTTCATTCATTCACGAAATGATCATTGCACGTTTGCTGGGTGGCCAGACTCTTCGGTGAACGAGATAGCAACGGAAACTGCCCGCCTGGGGTAGGTTCAGTCTAAGGGAAAACAGAAAATATTTCCAGAACCTAGAAGACAAACTAAACTAAACAAAAAGAAAAGGGGAAAAAAAAAAAAAAAAAAAAGCAGGTTTCCGTCTATCCCGGTCTCTCTATTGATAAGACACTTGGGTGGTTTCTACTTTAGTCTACTGTGAATAAAGCTCCGAAGACATTTCTGTGTAAGTCTGTGTGGATATACTTTTCTCATTTTTCTTGGGTAAACAGCTAGAAGTAGAGTTGCTGGGTCATATAAGTATATGATTTTTGTTTCTTTTTTTCTTTTAGAGAGATTTTTGCTAGAGGACGCATATATGCGCCAGAGAGACAGAGACAGAAAGTGAGAAATCATCCCCATCGCAATCCCTCCTCCATTCTCCACATGGGATTTTGGACACGATTACAGAGGCCTTGTCAGAGACTCAAGACTTGAACCCTGGTCAACTCTATGGGAATCCTGCGATGTTACCACTACGCCATCTGCTGGTCCCATACAAGTATGTGATTTTAACAAACTGCCCAGCCATTTTCCAAAATGTTTTTTTTTTCCATTTTCCATTTCCACTCTCAGTGTACGGTACGGTCCTGTTATTCCGCAGCATGGTCAGGATTGAGTATGGTCACTCCTTAGTGCCAGCCATTCTAATAGGAGTGATAGGCACATCACTGCAATGCTATTTGCACTTCTGTGAAGGTTAATGAGGTTAAGTATGTTTCCCTCGCTATTGCATTTGTCCGCCTTTGTAAAAGGTCTATTCAAGTCTTTTGCTAATTAAACATTTTTATTTGTCCAAATATTGAATTGTGAGTGTTCTCTACTTATATTGCTACAAGTCCTTTGTCAGATATATGTTGCAAAGATTTCTCCCAGAATGTGTCTTTTTTCTGTTTTCATTTTTTCCCAAGTCTATACAAAAACCTTTATTTTAACACTTCAAAGAATCACATTCATTTCAACAGCTTTGTCAGGCTTAGCCACCCAATAAGTTACACACACACACACCTGGGTACTTGGAAAGATATTGCATGGCTCTTTATATGATGAAGTTGGGGCACAGTCATCACTTTCTCCACAATCAGACAGGCTGTGGAGGCAGCTACAGTTGGACCTGGCCTCCCCATCAAGACGCCAGTTCCCCCTCAGTGCCCTGTTCATCAACATGGAGCTCCGAGTAGGGAAGAGGAGGCACTGCCTGCCCAGTAAATCAAGTCTCACTGCGAGGAGCGCTCTGTATGAAAGGCCCATGGTCAGCAGTAAAATGGATCTCAGTGGCATGATCCTGACAGATTACACGGCAGCCCGACCTCCAGGATTCCTCCCCCCTGCGTGATTCTTAAGACTGTTTGCTGGTTCATTCTTTGCCTTTTTGGCAATTTGGTTTTGATGAATTGGCTGTAATCCAAGGGTGTTCAAGAACTTCTCTGAGAGTTGGCCTCTGGCTGGGATTGTGCCTTAAGAGTCTGGAAATGGGGACCAGCAGTTGGCGTAATGGCTATGTCGCTGAACTGCCATGTAGTAGACCACGGTTTGAGTCCCGGATCCAGTGGCTTAAACTCACACTGGGTGTGTGTGCGTGCGTGCCCAAGATCCCAAGAGGAGAATGGAACAGAAGGAATTGTGGCATGGCTATCCCCCCTGGGCAGTGATTCTCACTTTCTGTCTCTCTGTCTCTGTCTTTTTAGCGAGCGCACGTGCTCTATAGCAAAAACAAAAAAAAAAAAACAAAAACCCCCCAAAAAAAAAAAAGGTTTAGAAATGAGGCCTCTGGCTCCCTCTGTGACAGAATCAGGGAATGTATACTCAACTCTTGGTATTCTCTTGTAGGTCCCCTGGTATGTGTTTGTCTCAAAAGGAGGCTTTCCAACCAGAAATTCATAGCAAAGAACTCCAAGACTCCAGAGATCAACCTTCTCATCATGCATCTGGCCTTTGATCATCTCGGGGGGCAAGTAGTCAAGGGTATGACAGAGGGTTCTCCTGGAGGATGGAGCATGCACTGACCACCCAAAATCTGCCATCTTAGTTCTCCTATCAATCCCAGAAGCAAGTTCTCTGG